TGTCTATATATATTGGTATGATACAAATGGGCAATTATCTGAGCGGATACATGAACGAAACGGAGAGTATATACGCGAAGATGTTCCATGTTAGACGACGAGTAGAGCGTAAAATATATTATAGTCTGGCGTAAAGCACTTTACGCAATCGCTTTTATATTATTATCGCAGAGAAAGTTATTACGGAAGTAAATTATTTAGCTTGCCTCCAGTCAGCACCTCCTTGGATTCGTTATTAATAATCTAATTCCCTTTTTTAAACCTGTTTTCTTATTCTACTTTTCTTTAGTTGCTTTTAGACACTAATTTATATGAAGAAGCTTCGTGGAGGTTTTTTTTTTCTTCTTTTTTTTTATTCATCCCTTAGAATTTGTATAAGGTAAAAGACATTTTTATTTTTTAATAATTTAATCCACGAGGTGCGTTCTATTTTTTTTTGGTAAATTTGAATATTTTATCATTTCTGATTTTTTTATTTTCTAAATATATTTTCTTATCTTAATAAAGTTTAATTTATTGTAAATTTGGAATAAAATTCAATTCTTAAAATTATTGACAATCACACTGTAAAAAAAAGTTATAAATTAAATTTTGATTTTGGTATTAAAATTTAAAATAGATTATGATTTGTTACCAACATTGGTAAAATTTTTCCTCCGTGATTCATAAATTCTTCACTGTTAACTTAAAAGTATCAAATTACAATGAATTGATATCAAAAATGTGAATCAAATAAAAAATTGATCGAAATTTTTGGCATCAATTTGATCCACTTTAGTATCAATTTGACACTTTAAAGAAAACTGTATTAATAATAATAATAATAATAATAATAATAATAATAATAATAATAATAATAATAATAATAATAATAATAAATTAATTAATAATAATAATAAATTTTATTGAATTAAAATAAATTATTTCTCGAGGTGTAAATTTTTTACATAATTGTCAATTATTGATATTATAATTAATAATAATTAATATTAATTGAGAAATTATAAATTTTCTAATAATAAAGAAGAGTAAAATTTCGCAATTTTCTCCGGGGATTACATTCAGAAAATAAAAAATATTGTTACACAATTTTCGATAATTTTTTATTTATAGTTTCTCGCGAAAATAATAAAAAATAAAGAGCATGAGAAAAGAGTAATTTAAAATTATGTGTTCGCTTAAATTTTAATGAAACTTTTACACTATTTACAGTTTTGATCTTTTATACGCTTTTAATTATTATTACGCTAGAAAAAGGAACCATTAATTATTAATTTTATTAACTTAGTTACGGTTTGACGTAACTTGCACTCGCAAAAAAGTGAAAACTTATTGGTTTATATATTTGATTCGCGAACAAGTTATGATTTACAAAACCGGCTATGGAAATATATGTGTCGACATAACTTTTATTGCTCTCATAATTTCCGTCGAATTTTTCTTTTCTTTTTTTTTAAATATTCAATATAAAAACAAAACTAGATCAGTTGTTTCTAATTTGTCAATTTTTTCAGTCGTGGAAAATTTGATATTTCTAGTTGGAAAATCGCCTCTGTATGATTTATAGACTATTATTATTATTAGTATTGTTTTATTATTATTCTAAAATTATTTTTTTATTATTGATACTATTATTAAAAAATTAAAAAAATGTTGCTATTTAAATATTTGACTGTATAAAAATTTTAACACAATATTTTTGTTTCTAAATTTTCCTATTATTATATTTACTAGCAACAATTTAAACATTTCCGGGTGAAATTATATTGTAATATGCGCGCAGAAGTCGGAAATGTGGGATTACGGTAATTTTTCCTTTTTTTTTAACGACAACGCGACCCAGAGAAACAAGTTGTTCTTGACGTTTATATTGTCAGAGGAGGATTTTCCTTTTTTTTCTTTTAGAAAGGTCTCCCATAAATTGGTCGGTCTATTTCATCTTATAGTTGCAAATGGTTGATCCCTTCGTCGCTATATATAATACCACCTTTTAAATTCAATATCAGTTAACAATATTTCTTTATCTACAAAAAAGAAGAAATTATACAAAAAAAAGAAAATACAAAAAAAGGTATTTTATTATTTATTTTTTAAAAATATATTTTCTTGGACGAGAGTTTATTTCTTCTGTGTTTTGAGTCATTCTACATTTTAGAAATTTGACCAATATTTATATTTGATTTATGGAGGAGAGGTATATAAATTTTTTCGAAAAGTAATTATTTTTATTTCTATTTGTATATTTTATATTTTAATATTTGTTGCTTTTCGAAAAATTTATTTTTTGTTTTATATTTTTTATTTCTTTATTATTATTTATTATTATTATTTTTGATTTACAATTTCAATTATAATTTAGAATCAAGTTAGGATTTAATTTATAATTTATAAATAATTTTTATTAATTTAGTTTTGTTTATTACATTAATTAATGGTTTATTATATAATAAAACAAATAAAAATGGGTGAACTATTTTCAAAAATCGTGTTTAAATTACATTATAGTTTAAAATTAAAATTGTAAATTATTATTTACTATTTACTTTAATAATTATTATTTATATAAATATTAAATATTATTAAATAACAAATTATTGAATAAAATTTGAACAAACATTTTAAACAGTTTTTACAAGCAATTCATCATTATTTTTTGATGTTTGCTTTTTTCAATTTAGTGTTAAAAAAGAAAAGATTTTGAGGATAAAAAAAAACTTTTAAAATTCTTCTACGTTATTCCATTAGGACTTTTGGGATTTTTATTTGAGAGATTTTTATTTCTTCTTTTAGAAGAAGATGGTCGTCTTAAAATTTGTAAATCGTGATACTTTCGTAGAGGAGTTGAAAACAATGTGAATACAGACAGCCAACAAGTAGCTGATTACGAGTCGTTAATCCGTACTTTCTGGTCCACTTTTGGACCACCGTGAATTCGAAATAGTTCTAGGAATTCGTTCATTCATAAAACGTTGTTCACTGTGTCGTTAAAGTATTCACAAAATTTAAAATTTACAAGAAATAAAACAGTGTTTAATTTTTTTTTTAGAACAATAAAAAGTAGAAATTCTAAACAAAAGTACTAAAAACTAAAAAGTAGGAAAATCCTAAAAAAAATACTATAATAAAAGAAAATCTAAAAGTGTAAATGAACAAAAATAGGAAGAAAAGAATTTCCCTTTGGGAAAATTTATTTTGGGTGAATTTGGTTTTACTTAGTCGGCATTAGTTAGTTAGTGAGAAGTATCTTCTTGTTAGAGAAGCTGTAAGTAACAACTTGTGTATGTATATATTTTGTGTATGAAGTGTGAGGTGCGCCTGGCGTCGTCTCAGAAGACAGGACATTGCTTATGAAGCTGAAGTCTGCAACGTTTTTAAAAACGAAAAATCAAAAAAGAATTTTTTTCCAAGTTAAATTCATCTCTAATTTTCATGTTTCTTAATTTTTAAGAAATTAATTGTTGCTTAAGATACAATTATTAAAAATTAATATGATTTAGAATCAAAAATAAAAAAACCGTCCCTTTATTTTTTCGTTTTCGTTTTTAAAAACGTTGCGGACTTCAGTATTATACATTGCTTTGCATACAAAACAGTGCACGTTACTCATACCCACGAAATTATTAAGACTCATTCACATGCATACCGGTTAGCGATTGCAATTGTATTTGTGTCCCAAGTGAACCTGATGCTTCGTGGCACACGATTCACTATATATTATATATATATACACATTTTGCCAACATTCACATTTCGATTCTCAACAATATTTCGTATAGAAATTCATACATTAACTATTCCTATATGATAATTTGCTCAATTATCTTATATTTGTTGTTTAAAAACTTGCTTTTTTTAAATTATATTTTTTATTTTAAAAGTGTATTATTTATTCTAAAATTATATTGTTTATGTCAAAAGTGTATTTTTTTACTTGAAAATTATTAGAGGTGTGCAAAAAGCTCGAAGCTCGATCGAGTATTTTCGAGCTTTTCGTTTTTCGAGCAGAACCTAATCAGTTTGAGTTTGAGCAAGTTACGCAAGAAATGACATATTTGTTACAATATCAGAAAAAAAGTCTCGTTAAATTAACTATAGAATTCTGGTTACTCTAATCAGAATATAATGTTAAATATAATCTGACAACTTTTTCTGAATAAAAGTTTTAAATCTGTTTTTGGATTAGAAAAAGTATTAGTATTCTGGATTAAAATTTCTCGTCAATTATCGTTAAACGTTAATTTTATAAATTACTAGGCAGAGTAGGTATAAATCAGAAATGAAAAGTGAAAAATCGAAATGTTTTTAAAAATTTTTAAATTTATTTTTTAATATTAATGTAAAACGTTTGTTTACATACATTAAACGATATCATCTTTGATAGTTTACAGTCGATTAAGTTAAACAATAGAAATACTCACTTCCATTTTAAGAAAGGTTGTAAGGACATCCAGAAATCTTATCCAACCGTTTTTTTTGTCTGAAGGTATAGCGTGTTTTATTATATAATCATTCAGATTATTTATTATTTTTTTACAGTTCTCATAAATTTCAGCATATTTTTTCTTATATTCATCAATTGTTATTTCATTTAATTTATATGAACATAATGTAAACAATGATTCGATTTTCACTATTACGGATGTAAAAAGAGAATTCACTAGTTTAATTACATCAAGCATTTTATCTTCTTTAAGTATGAAATCAATGAATTTAGTTAGACTTATTTTATTCGCCACATCATTTTCTTTGTTGAAATTTTTCAGATTATCACTAATCATTTCCAGAGTTTGAATTTTAACCTCTGGATCAGGATTATTGCTCAAAGGATTCAAGCTTTCGTAGATTCTATTCAAATCGGCTTTATTGGTTTGGAAAGTATTAGTATCTTTGGATTGACAAGAGGCAGCGAACTTTTCATTGAACGAGTTGCACAGTATCTTCCCAAAGTCTGTAATTTCATTTATGTCCAGCGTACCAGTGTGATTCTTTAGGCTGCTTTTTGATTGTGGTGAAAATGTAAAGCCCATATCTTGGCGACATGACTTGATTATTCTCTTGCAGTTATTAATAGCTGGAATAATATTAACATCGATATCAGAAGTAACAATCCCAGTTTGTTGTGCTTTCTTGAAGAAGGCTAAACGATTGTTATTCTTTATTATATTCTGTACAAATTGTTTTGAATCTTCGGATATATCCATTTTTGGATTTGATAATAATCTGTCAAATAATATATCAGTTATGTATTCATGATCGACTAAATTATCATAATCATCGGATTTAGGTGCTTTTGAGATAATTACTGATATGCTTGGAAAAAAGGTTCTAAACCTATAAATAGTAAAATATTCTTCTAAACTACTTAAAAGTTTTCTCACCTGTTCAACATTGTCATTAATAATTTCATTAAAACTGATAACTAAAATAAGTTTTAGATTTTCGACTTTTCTTGTCAAATGATAGAGATGAAAGGAATTGTTGAAATCTTGCATTACACCTCTATTGTCCGCAAATCCAGCAGTATCCCAGATGTCCAAATTCTGTAATTCTGGCCTTGTTGAGCTCCATTTTGTGGGAATTGTAGTTGTTGACAATGATCCAGCACCAATTTCTGGTCCTTTGATATTGTTGTTAGCTTTAGTTATCTTAATATTCTCAAATGTGTGAGGTCTATTAGCTTCCAATTCATTTCCCATTATGTAATTAATTAGTGTACTTTTGCCCCCTCTTCCATTGCCTATGACAATTGCCGCATTTTTCCTTTGACCTCGAGTTGCTTCTTCCATACGACGATCCGAATCATTGAAAAGTTGTCTTAATTTATTTAACTCTTCAAGATTAAACTGAAAACTTTCGCTTTCGATAATGAAGAGTAGAAAGAAGATTATTGCAAGTCTTATCATGATTGATAAACAATGTATTGCAACTTTTTCCAGTAGATACCTAAAGCTCTGAAAATTATACAAAGTTATTGACTAGACCAATATTGTAATTAAATTTCAGTCTATTGAGTAATTGAGAATATAATGTCACAATAAATAATTCCAGGGCTCGGATTGTGAAAATTTTTTCGACTTTTTTTTTAAAAATGCAACATTTCATCATTTCGATCCGAGCCCTATAATTTGCTAATTTTAATTTTAAAGTAATTGTGATTGTAAATTAATTATACAATAAGTAGCACGCTTTAGCGGTTTTATAACATCTAATTTAAAAATAAATTACAAATGAAATAAAAATTATTAAAAATTGGTACTACAGACTAAATTTTATGTTCCATTGACCAGTGGAACAACTACAGGTGTAACGAGTTGCGAATGAAAAGAAACAATTCTTAATCAGTGAATAGATGTACTGTTAACCAATAGGAAAAATACAGGTGCAACAAGTATAAAGATTGGAAGAGAAAAAATTATTTATTAGTGAATGTTTAGAAAGAAGATAAAAAAATTTTGTTTTTAATAAATTTTAATACATCGAAAAAATTATTTTCTATATTAAAAAAAGGATTTTTAATTAAATAAAATAAATAAATAAAAAACGTAATAAATAAACGTTTAATTTTAATTAGTTTCCTTTTTGCGTCAATAATTTAAAAAAATATTTGAAGAGTAAAAAATTTCGTTCACTTGAACGTTTAAAACTTTAGGAAAATAAAATTTTAGATGATGATGATGATCTTCCAAAATTTTATTGTTCAAATCTTATTTAGAAACAATATGAAGGATTTGAAAAATTTTCTAAGTAATTAAAAGACAAAATATAAGTACCACTGTTGGTCCCCTGTTTTTACCATATCCCCTTGTTTTTCCCTTTTTTCTCTCCTTTAATTAATTAAACCCACCAAACTCCTGAAGGGCATAGCGGAATAAGAGTGGAAAATCTGCCTTTGCTCTAAAAAAATTTAAATTATTACTAAAAGTTGGTACTAATGCATAATGAGCTGAAAATTTCCACCAAATATTTTTTGAGAAAATGAATTTTTACAGGTGTTATGGAGAGGAAAGCAAAATAAAAAAATTTATTTTTCTCGAAAATGGCTCAACCGATTTTAATGACAAAAATATGTTTTTTTGTAGAATCAAAAGACGAATTATAAAAAAATACTCGAAAAATTTTTGCCCAAAAGAACTTGAAAAAAGAAAAGTTTTTTGAATTTTGAAAATTTTTTTTAACAGGTTTATTGCAGAAGTACCATTTTTGAAACATAACAAAAATCTAAAAAAATAAATAAAAAGAAAATTTATAAAGAACTTTTTTTCAATTTTAATGTGCATAAACTTTAAAGAAATTGATTTTTTTCTCTCACAAAAAATAATTAAAATTTGAAGTTAAAATACTAAATATAGTTTCATAAATTTTTCATTTTCGTTTTTAAAAACGTTGCGGACTTGAGACTTTATCTTTAAAGTAAAAGCGTGACTGGCGTTGTAAAACAAATTTTGATAAAAAAAAATTTGTTACAAACCTTGGAAAAACGAAGCGTATAATAAAATTTTTTTTAAATTCTTAATAATTTTAACGAAAATTTAAAAAAAATTTTTTTTAATGAAAAAAGGAATTAGAATATTTTTTCGGTTATGATAAAATCAATTTTTTTTAGTTAGAATATTTCTAATGGGTAATAAAATTTTAAATTGTTTTATTATTAATTTTTAAAGGTTTGCAAAAAGTTATTTTTTTTTTAAATTTATTTTTTATTTAAAAACTATATTTTCCACTCTAGTAAAATTTCGTTTTCTTTTTTCTACAAAAGTAGCAAAATTTACTTTATTTGCTTTTATTTCATTGTTTAAATTTATTTATTTATTTTTTGGAGTAAAATATTTCGAGAAAATAATTATTAAATGCAGAATTTTTTTTTTAATAATATTTAATGAAAAAAAAAAAATTTTACGAACCATGAAAATGGAAGCTTCTAGAAAAATATTTCAATTCGTTGTGTGCAATTTTTTTCCCTCTGTTTTATATAATAAAAAAAGCTCTGTTGTCACATTTTTATTCACCGAATTCCTATATTTTACATAGGTGGGTGTAATGAGATCACTTTCCATCACGGTTGAGAATGTTTGAAAAATTAAACGCACGTGCGTTGGCAACTCTTCAAACTGTTTTTTATTTTTTTTTTTTTATTTGGAAAATCAATTTTGTGCGCTCATATTTCCCATTACAGTTTGTCTGTTGCCATGCTGCCTTTTCTCTGATGCATCGTTTTATTTTCAACAAAAAAAATTTTGTTTTCTTTCTTTTCGCAAAAAAAAAATTCACCACAGCTGAATGCATTCAATCGTTATAAAACCAGCATAAAAAAAAAGAAAATTTCATATGCCAAATAATTGCCCTGGAAAAGCTTCTCTATTTTTCGATTAATTTTAGAACTTGATTGATATTTATTTTGATATCCATAAAACTGCAATTTTATTTATTATAATTTCGGTTTTTTTTAATTTATTAAAAAACATTTTTTAAAATTATTTTTTCATTCGAAATTTATTATAAGATTTTGTTTATTTAAATTTTTTTATTATTTCGTTAATTTATTTGTAAAATTATAAACAGAATTATAATAAATTTTTAATAAAACATTTTTTATTAATTTATTATTTTGTTTATTTTTAAATAAAATTGAAAACTATAAATTCTAAATAAAAAGGACAAAGGAAATTAAAATTTTCCAAATAGAAAGAAAATAAGAAATTGGTAATAAAATTTAAAAAAAAGTTTTCTTCAAAATTAAAGATAACTAATTTTATTCATTATTTTAATGACAAAAAAATGGGAATAAAATTCCTAAACGATTTGTAAATGGTAATGAGAGTGGTCAATTATTTCTAATTGGGAAATCTTAAAGTTTCGTGGGAAATAATTTTGCACTTTTCTTTTTTTTTCTTTCTTCATCTCTAAATCTGAATTTTAATATTATACGACGCGGCTATTGAGTCGACTCTTTAATCGGGTCAATCGCTTCTATATTATCGGCTAAACATCAGGAAATCTGCAATAAAGGAAGCGGAGTGGTTATTGGTCAAGCTTTGAATCACGTTATAATAGTATTAAATAAACTTGAATTCGTGACTTGATTTTACATCTTTAAAGTTGTTTATCTCTTTTTTTTTATTACCTCCTGGCAAAATATATATTGCATACAACACATTTTTGCTCCTCATCGTGAGTAGAAATTTGAAATCAAAGATTTTATCTTTTTATATGTTAGTTATTGCCACACACTTTTCAACACTCGACACGAAAATTTTTTGAATTTAAATTTTTAATCTCATTGTACAAATTTTTACTGAAAGACAAATTTCGATTTTTTTATTTTTATTTATTTTTCTTTTATCTCTTTTTTTTTATTTATTTCCTTTATTGTACTTTTTTTATTTGTACTTATTTTTTTTCTACTTTGTTTCCTCTATTTTTATTTTTATTTGTTTATTTATTCCTTTATTTATTTTCATTCTATTTATTTTAATTTACTTTTATTTTCTAAAATTTATTTTATTTTTTACGTTCCCAAAGTTCCGAACGAACGTTCAAATGAACGAAATTTATTTATTTCTTCTTCAAATTAAATTTTTATTGCAATAATTTTGCGTCCCTATCATAAAATTTAATGGTGAAGCTTCTAAATGTAAAATTAAGGTTTTTTATTTTTCTTGCAATCAGTAATTGATGAAAATATTTTTGATAAAAAATATTTCGTTCATTTTAACATTCAAAACTTGTGGATCATTATTTTTTCCTTTTACATTTATTTTTATTTATTTTACTTCAAATTTATTTTTTATTTTATTGTCATTTAAAATAAATGAATAAATAAATTATTAATTATAACAGTGCTCGGATTGTGCTCGACTTTTTCGAGATTTTTTTAGTAAAATGCGACTGAAATTTAAAAATTTTTTTAAATTGAAAGGAAAAAGTTTGAGTAAAAAACTGTCCGGTTACATTTATTTACAAATTTCTTTTAAATTCTTCAAAAGATTTAAATTCGAACCTTTTTGAAATTAAACAACTTATAAAAAATTGTTATAAAACATGACCGAGTGATAAAATCATTATTTTATATTATATAAAACTTTACAAAAAAAAAAAAAATTTAATTATTTTTTATGAAAATAATTGAATTATTGGGAATAAATTTATAAAAAATTAGTAAGTAAATGAATTTTGCAGAAGAATTTTGATATTTATAAAAATAATTGAAATTTTGAGAAGACTTTAAAAAAAATTTTGAAAATAATTGAATTTCTGCAAAGAATTTTCTTACTTTTGAAAATAATTGAATTTTGCAAAGAATTTTATCAGAACTTTTGAAAATAATTAAATTTCCAGTATGAATTTTATTATTCATGAAGATAATTAAAATTTTGATAAGAAAATTAAAAGAAATTGAAAATAATTGAATTTCTAAGATGAATTTATTATTTATAAAGATAATTGAAATTTTGACAAGAATTTTTGCAAATAATTGAATTTTACAGAAGAATTTTATTATTTATAAAGATAGTTGAAATTTTGAACAGATGTTTTTAAAAATGTTTAAAAGTAATTGAATTTTACAGAATTTTGATATTTATAAATATAATTGAAATTTTGAGAAGAATTTTAAAAAAAATTTTGAAAATAATTGAATTTCTGGTAAGAATTTTCTTACTTTTGAAAATAATTGAATTTTGCAAAGAATTTTATCAGAACTTTTGAAAATAATTAAATTTCCATGATGAATTTTATTATATATAAAGTTTTGACGAAAAATTTTAAAAAATGTTTAATATAATTCAACTTCTGTGAAGAATTTTATTAAAATTTTTTTTAAACAATTGAATTTCGGAGAATAATTTTATTATTTATAATTCGATATTAATGTATCTGTTGTCGAGAAATGTGATTTTTTTGCAATTTTGTCAATTTCGTGTTTTTCTTTTGTCGTTTTTTCTAAGATTTCATGCGACTTTTTTCCGACTTTTTCGAAAATTTTATGCGACTTTTCGTGAAT